AAAAAACTAAAAAAGGACACCTAATTGAATTCTAATTGTAATTGCCTAATGGGCCTTCTAGAGTTCTAGTTCTAGTAGAAGTCTAAAAGTAGAAGACTAGTAAGAATTAGGAAACTACTCAAACTAGGAAGTAGGAACTACCAAACTAGTAGAATACTAGTTCGGTTCGGGTCGGGTTGGTTTCGATTTTCACGCAAGAAAATCGAAATCGACCCGAGATTTCAGTTTATGTATGTGCCCAACCCGAAACCGACCAGTACGGATGAAAACCCGACCGACTCGGGTTGGGTCGGTCTGGGTTGGTCGGGTTGGGCATTCTTATGAACAACCCTAAAAACTATAGATATGCTCTATCTTTACTCCTTTTCCAAGCAATATGGGACAAGGAGTCTTCCCATGCACTCAAGAGTGGGAAGAGGAAAAGGCAAAACTCAAAAACAAGAGAGGGAGGAGAGAGATTCTTGAAATTTTGAATCTTCCTCCAACAATCCCCACAAGATTCAAAATTACAAGAAGATCGAATAATTTGAGCATTGCAGTGAGAAAAGTATTCATGGTGATGCCTTTTGGACTTCAATAAACACTTAGGTATGGCATGCTATGTTACAGAGTACGGGTGGAGTTAGACTCCTTCAACCTTTCCTCTTTGTCATAACTAGCTAACTTGCCAACCAATTCAGCTCACTAGTTTTTTAGTGGTTCTTTTGTTTTGGAACATTCCGGCCTTGTTCCCCTCTTGGAATCATGAGTGTTTTAGAGTCAGCCCTAGATCTCTCTTAGAAGCAGCATACTTCACACTCACTTAGGTCAGTTATTAGTGTGCACTGCACACACTACTCTTAACTGATTAAGAGCCTCATGCTCAATCTCCTCAAATTGCAGTGAACACTATCTTACCTCGACATTTAAAATGGGACACAAATGATAATGCTTCCCAAGTCATTTAGTGACTCGCTTTTACCCATTCAACATAATTCCATGGATCTCTTTTCACATAGGTTGGGTGTCCATCACTAATGACTTATGTAACGAGCTTCAACCCCATTCATAC